CGCCGGTGACGAAGCCGTAGTACCGGCCGGAGCGGCCCTGGCCGTTGAGTGCGGGCAGGATGTCCCGGGTGATGTGGCCGACGACGGCCTCGGCGGGCGCGCCGGCGAGGTAGGACCCCGACTGGCTCGAGGGGAGCGACGCCTCCGCCGCCTTGATAGACTCCTGGGATGGGAGCGTGGGGTGGTCGAGGGTGTCGGCGTGGCGGTCGACACACCTCTTCAGCTCGGACAGCTGGGTCTCGGTCTCAAAGTAGTCAGCCATCCTTTCTTCTTCTTCCCTTTTTGCTGTGGGTGATTTGACAGAATGGTGGTCCGGAGTGGGTTGCCATTTTTATATGATATTGGAGTTTCGTGTGAGTCTTTGAGCTGCCGGTGTCGCCCAGCTGCCAATTTCGGGAATCGGCAGGACGGCTTGAGAGATCCGCTTTCATGGGCTATTCCACTAAAAGAAGGAAATGTAAGAAACTAGTAGCGGTTTAAACAACTATAATTGGGTAAACGGGACGCTTTTCTCTCTCTCCGTTCTGGCCGCTCTGTCCGGTATACCCGCGCGCGCGGTAATGGCTTCGGACTTCAACCTTCGGAGTTCAGGCTATTAATAGGGTCAACGACCGGCCGTGCATGTATGTAGGCCGTAGCCAAGACGGGGCGGGAAAGGGGCGACGGCAGTTGCGGACTGTGAAACCGGTTTGATGAGTGTATCGTTTATTGGTATCACTATATCGATGATGGCTATTCATAATATCACATATAGAGAACAGATAACCAGGAAGTTTCTCAAGTCTAACCAATAATACAAGAACGACGCTTGGGGGGGGGTTCGCAGCACATCCCCCGAAAAGACGAAAGGTCACACAGTCCAGATCCCAGTGGCCCGGGGCATCTGTCCTTTGTGATTGTCACATCTATGTGAATCTCCACGATCCGCCGAGAAAAATAGCAGCAGAGCGGTAGAGGAACAAGAGGCGCGCTCCTTTGATGAGGAGCGCTCTAGGCGTCGGTGGGATATCACTTAGCATCCCTCAGCCGTCGCCATGTTGTCGTAATAAGTATATACGAGATATGAGCAGGATCCACCTGCTTATAGCTTCGCGCTCTCGCCGACGGCACCAATCTTGAGTTTCTCGCCGTACTTCTTTAGTACGTGCTCATTGTGGTATTTCCAAAAAGGCTTGGTGGCATTCTTGCCGGCAAAGCGCTTGAGAATCTTGGCGCCGCCAGGATGCTCCTCCAGAAAGTCTGCAGGTCGACACGTTAGTAAACATAGTTCTGGCATGATCAGGTGACGACAAGGGAACAAGGGCGGAAGTCGAAAGACCGGGAAGGATGAGCAAGGCACTAGAACTCAACTGGTTATATCGAAGACTTCGTTCTCAACAATAATCCACATGCCATCCTTCTCATCCTTGTGCTTGGCCACCTCGGCCGCGGTGTATGTTTGCGACATGGTGTGACGTGATCAGGCCAGAAAGTCCCAGGGGATAGGGGTGCGGAAAGATGGATGGATCGGGGCGCAGGTTCGAAGCTAGCGATCGTCTATTGTATGTGTCTCCGTTGGGGAGTGCCGTGTCTAGGACCGAGGAGTATAACGTATGGGTTGAGGGGGGAGAGAGGCTGAAGGAGACAGGACTGGGCCGGTCGCATTTTTGTAGCCTGTGGCCTGTCCTGGGGAGGCGCAATGCCTCGGCATGTGCCAATGGCGGAACCGAATCCGCCAAAATCTGGAGGAGCTGGCGGCCAGCGACAGGCCTTTGGGGGGTTCAGGGAGGGGCAGCCCGCTAGGACACGCGCCCCCCACCGCTACAGCCAGTAGGAAGAGGCCAATTCGTCAGTGAGTCCAGCGCCTGGAGCCAGCCGATAAGGCCTCGAGTGTCTTGACGCCATCCGCGAAATTATGTCATACGCTGCTGCACTTATTGCTGCCCTGATCAGGAACATCCTCGGCTGAAGCTGCACCTCAACTCATCCATGTTCACCGGCAAATATACCTCCATGCAATTAAGAGCCGCCGCAGCGTAGTGTTCGGCTATTTGTCCTGATTCAAGACCCGTGCTGTCTTATCGACGTACGTATGGTAGAATTCATTACACAAATAGTCATAATTCATCATCTAGTAGTATACATGAATAGAAAATAAACAGCAGTCTATAGGCAATTGGCTACAGACGGAAGAGCTGTCTTCCTATCAGGACCTCCCTCAACTCACTTGCCCGCGACTGGCCGGTGCGATACGGACTCTCGCTGCGTCGTTGCAGAGCCTCTGGCATCCATTCCTTCATCTTTTCTATCCGATTCTCATTCTGTATGGAGAATTAGTTACCAGCTTGCTCAACCCATTTATGGCTTGGTTTTCTAGAACTCTATCCGTAGTATGATGACTTACCGAGGGATGTGTACTCAGCAGCTCTGGCACCTCCTGGCCTCCCCGCCGAGCAAGGCTCTGCATGCGTTCCCAGTAACCTATCGCCGCCCTGGGGTCGAATCCTGCCTCGGCCATCATCATGAGGCCGATGTAGTCGGCCTCGCTCTCCATCTTTCGTGTCATTGGCAGACTGAACAGGTAGTTCTGAATGAATCGCCCTCCTGATAAACTCCATAGGCCGAATAGAGCCAAACCAGGAAGGGCGCCGATCAAAAAGAACAAGCTGCCCGATGTCAAGTTGGCCACACACGCGGCCGACATGCGCTCTGCGCTGTGGGCGGCAACAGCATGTGCAATCTCGTGGCCCATTACCGCCGCAAGGGCATCTCGGTTCCCACAGACCCTGATCAAGCCGCTGTAGACAAATAATCGATTACCCGGTGTGACGAAAGCGTTCGCAGTTCCTGGAAAATGAGGATTTATTAGCTGCCAGACGGAAAACGTTCCTCAGAGAGGGACAACAGGGCAATAGCAAGTAGCAAGGGGGCACAGCCGTACGTTCGTCATCAATCACATGTACAACCCATTCACGGTCTTTCATCCCACTGACAGGAATGAGCTTCTCCATGACCTCTTGCACAACCCTCACGCGCCGGTCCCTCGGCGGCAGGAAGCGTCCCCCATCCTCCTCGATCTCCTTGGCGATGGCATCGGCATTAGCTGACCCCAGTATGTCTAAGAACCCCTCCCCCAGGAAGTTGAACCGCCGGCGGCCGGTGACTGGCACCGTCTGTGAGTTGGCTAGGTAGAAGGCCACGGCCGCACCAACACACCCGACCACGAAGAGTCTGGAGTTCCGGCTGCGGCCTGCATTCTGGAAGCGGTCTGCGGCCTTGTGGGACAGGAGAGGGCGGGCTTCCTGCAGTCTTCGTTGCAGCTCGCTGGGGTCGATGTTCCGGCGCTTCGGGGTCGGCGAGTAGAAGCGAGTGCGGGCTGAGCGTGCGACTGTGGCACACGGCGAGGGTGGGAGGAGGAGGATCGCGGCCTTGGCGGGGCGGGCGAGGCAGCGCTGCCGGAGCAGGCGCGGGGCCAGCATCTCTCTGGCCGTCTAGCAGAGGTGTGAATCGCAGGTCGAGGATCGCAAGTTACGGGTGTCGAGACAGCAGTGATGGTGGTGACAGTCAACAGGAACCCCAGCCGGCTCAACCTCTCACCACTGGCGTCACACAGCTGCTGGCGCCTTTCCAGTTCCAGGTAGCCTTGTCACCTGCAAGCCCGAGTCTCGGGCGTTTTAGTGCAACGGGGCAATGGTTTGTGCACGGCTGCAGGCAGTTGCCTTGCCCCACAGCTGATCTCATGGATCTAGGCACTCTCTATCAGCTTCGCGGTGGATCCGGACCCTTATCTGCTTTCAAATCCATCCTCGAGGTTCACCACCCCGACCATGTTAGTTGCCGGGGCCGTCTGACAGCTACCTCTAATGCAATTTCGATGATGACAGGATTCTTTTGTGTGACCGCTATGTTCCCAAGCTCCATCTTGGTCGACTCGGCTCGTTCCAAGCATGCCACGCTGCATACCTGGGCCTCAACATAATCAAAACGTCGTTGACCCTGCGTTGGATTTCTTTGCCAACCACGCCCATGTATCACCTTTGCGTCCAATTGTGTCCGATTCAACTACCGGAAGGATTTATTCTCCATGAAGATCTTAAGCTAAGGTACCTAGTTACCATACGAACACCCTAGGCCGAAGCCCCAAGCCATGCCTGACGTTTCTCACTCTTAACTCGCGTCAGAGTCTCCGAGTATTCCGTAACCCTGACAGTGACTCTTGTCCCCCACTAACTCCCTAATCGCTTCTCACCTCTTCTTCTGATTTTATTCACAATTTCGTCTCCCTAGCTTTCATCCCCTACTTCACCAGTATCCCTTCCATCCTTAAACTCGCCATACCTGTAGTCACTGCACAAGAGAAAGAATCCCCAAAATGATATCCACCCCCTCCAAGAATGAGGCTACCGCCTCTCTCATCCAGCAGTCATTCAAACCCTCAGACAACCCAGAACACCCCAGAATCCAGGCCGTCGTCGACAAGCTCGGCCTCAGCCCACACATCGAGGGCGGCTACTATAAGGTCACAGACATATCCCCGAGCACCATCCCGTCCCCGTACCCGCTCACCCCCCGCTCAAAGGAGACCCTCGCCTTGGCTGGCACCTCCGAGGCCGAGAGCGACGCCTCGGTGCGCCTCATGTCCACGACCATCTTCTACTACCTCACCCCGAACCGGCCCCAGGGCACCTTCCACGCCAACCGGAGCCGGATCATCCACACCCTCCACCACGGCCGCGGCCGCTACGTCCTCATACACCCGGACGGGCGCCTGGAGACCTTCGTCGTCGGATCCAACATCGACGCCGGCGAGAGGCTGTCCTGGGTGGTCGAGGGCGGGGTGTGGAAGGCCAGCTTCCTCCTCCCCAGCGAGGAGGCGGACACCGGCGAGGAAGGGCTTCTCATCTCTGAGACCGTTGTGCCTGGCTTCGATTACCTGGATCACGAGTTCCTCACACCGGAAGCTTTCAGTGGCCTGCTTCCTGAAGATGCCGCCTCCAAGTTGGAGTGGTTAGTAAGGGAGCAGGAGGAGAATGAGTCGGCAGCCCAGACTGAAACAACTATTCAAACCGATATTCTCGAAGCTGGTGGTTCTCTGGGGAACAATATAACCCCACGGCTGTCCCAAGTCAGTTCTTAAGAGACATTCTTAGCAGAGGTGGAGTTTGATACCTTGATGAGAACTTGCTCAGATCAAAGAACCAAGGTACAAAGGGAACGGCGAAAAAGAGCCTCGACAAACCATTGGTTCGACTGCTTTCGATATCCAGACGCACATAGCTCAGAAGACATAATTGCAAAGGTAACATGAAGAAATGATAGACGAACAACAATCAAATCGCAGCTGAATCCTTTAATGTCCAAGTTAAATGTAATTAAATTCGAGACCAAATATGCATACTGTAACCCGAGAAAGGAAGGACGGTGTCCCACCCCATTCTCGACTAACGTGATCTATTCCATGTATGTACACTGGTCATACAATTTCAAGAGTAGAAGGCTTCGTCTATCCAACTCCGTCGTCATCCCTCCTGAGAGGATGTCTCCAAATAAATTCAACTTCGTCGTAAAATATGCCGCCATAAATCCGCTCACTGCTTTTGAGGGGGTATATATATACTCTCCGAGTCGTCTAACAACCGAAATGCGGCTGCGAGCCAAGATAGGCTAATATTGTAAAAAAAAAAAATGGAAATAAAGGGAAAATGCCAAAAAGGGACACAAAAGATATTAAACGAGAGAACGTTGACGTCGTGTCACATCCATTAAATAAATTTGGTCTGGTTTCCTTCTTCCTCCGAGTGCCGAGCGAGCCCTCGCGTTGCTTGCGCTTTAGAAGTCGCTCAGTCGAGGGCTGCTCGCTCTGCTCTCCTCCGCGCTGCCAGCGACCGACAAGTAGGTTTGGTCGATCCGGAAGATCCAGTCCATCTTATCCCGCTCACTCCTAGCCGCGAATAGCCAGGTGTTGTCGGTGCCATATATGGCAAAAACTGCCGCCTGCATCCTCTCACTGAGACGCTGGAGACCTTCGCCATTGGTTGATCGGTCATTCGATCCAGTCCATACCGTAGATATCACCCTGCCCGATGCCGTGCGCCGGTGTCCTGGGGTGAAATCTGCGCCCCCATTCCGCCCTGGGGGTTGGTCGTAGTCGTCAGGGCCATGCAAAAGTCCGAGAACTCCCGGTTGGCTGTCAACGCGCGAATTACGCAGGCTCACAAGACCGACCTCGTCTCCGTCTGTTGCTGAATGGATGTGGAGGTAGGGACGACGTAGCTCCACGAACCTCTTCACCCAGCGAGTTGAGTTGTCGTTCGGAACAAGAAGATAACCTCCCTTGAGGACCTTGGGGTTCTTCGGCACGCGGATAATTGTCGTGATCAGGCTTGGGGGAAGAGGAGCCTCTACTGCAACTCCGTCTTCTGGGGGTGCCGTGTTCGCCGGGCTGAGGATGTTTGTCAAAGGGTCAGGGAATTTGTTCCATAACTTCACACAACGCTCCAAAAGGTCGGTTTGGATATCGTCGTACTCCCGCTCAACCTGAGGCTCGTCTGACGGGGCAGTCTCCTCCACTGGCTTCTCTTCCTGCTCCTCGGTTTCTTCATCGTCGCCATGAATAGAAGGTGCTGGCGACGTGTCCGGCGTATCATTCAAAAGGTCGTCATCATTGGGGATGATAGGCTTGAGTTCTGGAGACGGCTCCGGCTCCGGTTCCTTCACCTTTGTGTAGTTATTGGACTCATCCAGACCCATCTTGTTAAGAATGGTTTCCATGGTCCCAACTTCAGTGGCACGGCGCCGCTTCTGACGAGCGCGGATGAAGTCGCTCACCAACGACACCCCGCGAGGAGCCCAGCTCTTCAGGTTCTCTTCGCCCTTAACGTAGTCGTGCTGGCTGTTCATCCTCCAAAGATCGCCGATTCTCTTAATTGGGGCGGGGCGCATTGTGAGGGTGAAAATGCCAGTTGATGATCGCACAAACCGGGCATTCTTGAACAGTGAAGAGAAGACCGATGTCTGACGGACAAAGGTTCTAGGCAGTATCTGCACACAGACTTTTTGTGAAAACTTCATGGGCTCGGCCAGCTTCTCTGAACTAATTTCCCAAGCGACCGTCAGCTGGACTCGGTACTTGTCGGCAGTAACCCGGTCAAGCAACAGAGAGCCGTGCAAGCTAGAGTCCCATTGCGCGCTGACGTTAATGCAGCGGGTTCCGTTGGCATTCTCTCGGAAGACTGGGTTCGAGGCCAGCTTCAGGGAGACAAAAGGCTCGTTGCCTGTCATGTTAGGCATCTTGCCCGCGGAGTCTAGAAGCTCTATCTTGCCGATTCGGACTGACGTTACGTCTCCCCAGGGCAAGGCATCTCCGGAGCTGTGCGAGATGTCAATGCTAACACGCCTTTGCAGACCTTGATGGAGCTGGAACGTGCCGGTATCCAGTTCACTTGTCTGGGCCACTTCGACCGGCGCATACTCGCCTATTTCATCCAGCTCTTTAATCTGTATTCGAGAGAGAATATCGTGCTTTTCTTGGGTGAAGAATTGGGTCTCGTTAATTCGCGAGCCAGATCCATTGGCCATGGGAGAGCTGTCGCGCATATCATCCCAGCTGAGTAGCTTGTCGAGATGCATTGAGGTGACATTTGCGAAGATCGCTGCTCTCAAGGTGACATCAGATGGAGCCGAAAGAGGAACGCTCATGCTATGAACGCTCCCAAATCGGACCGGACCCTCGTCGAATTCATTTATCATCTGAGTTGTTGTGATGCCGTCTTCCTCGGAGATACCAGGGATAAAGAGCTGAGCATGTACCTCAGTGCCCTCGCGCTCAGCAAACCCAATCAGCTCATGCATGACGACGTTGAACTTGAGAGTATTTGAAGGTGCTCGAGCGTGTGAAGGCTCGAGAGATAGCTTGATGATACCAATAGTGCTTGATGTATACGGAGACAACACCTCAAGCGCAAAATCCTGGACTCTACTCTCAAACACAGCTCGGAGTGGCACCTCTGCCTCACCGACGAGAGTATAAGAAGGCATGCAAGCCTCTACGAAAGGATTGTCGAGACTCAGGTGCTGTGCATACTCGGGCTGGTCCAAGTACTGGTGCATCTGCCTCATGATTCGCACGCGTTCCAAGAGCTTGTTAAGACTCCAGAGCCGGACGACGCCATTTCGATAATCGACAACCCTGATGCCAATACATGGCTTGGGCGCTTCCTCGAGAGCAATGTCATCGCTCTCGTCCGTCAGGCCATTCAGCATCATGTCATAGGACGAGCATACGGAATGCCCGACATCCACGACTGTGAACTGGAAAACGACACTCTCATCGAGCTCATTGCTCATGATCTGCGCCTCTTTCAACGTGGCGGCGCTTTGCAAGACGGCTTCGGCCATCTTGACATAGTGTCTGCTCCGCCAGACTTTGATGACATCCTTTGCGCGATTGACTTCCTCCTCCGAGAGCTTCGGACTGGCCTTGGGTCGTTTCAAAGGGTCCATCTTCTCGATCTTCTCCTCGTACTTCTTGCGCTGAAGATTGAGCTGCTTCTGCATATCCTCCTTCAGCTCTTTCAAGGTATTTTCCATCCTGACCTTTTCCTTCTTGATTTCTTCAACCTCGACGTTTGCGGCCTCCGCGTTCTTGAGCTGCTCCTGGAACTCCTCTTTCTGTCTTTCGAGCTGATTTTGTAGCTCTTCACGTACATCTTTCAGCTTGTCGTCAGAATCGCCTTGTCGCGGTGTAGAGGGCATCGTCAGAGCAGTATCAAGAGAAAAGTTGTCAATCGTGCCCGTAGACAAATACTTTTCTCTGATCGGGTACGAGGTGACTGACTCTGAATCCTCTCCATCTTCTCGGCCCTGAACACGCTCTGCCCTTGCCTTCTGAACGTCTTCAAACAGCGCATTCAACTCCTCATCCGTCAGGCTAGTAAAGTTTTGCTCTGTCCCAAGAATAGCGCCAGCAGCCTCCCTCCGAGCAAGAGACCAGTCCGAGTCTCGCCCTCCACGTCCAAACGCGGCAGGTGAGTCGGGTCTGGATTCGGCAAAATCGGACACTCTACTAATTGTCCTCTCGTGCCCAGATCGCATGGGACTTGGCGATGGCGTTGGCCTATCTATCAGCTGACTTGCCGTAACCGAGTGTCGCAGCAAGCTGCCGCCAACTCCACCCTCCGCTCTTTCTGCTCTGGCTTCCATGGGATGGTTGAATCGGAAGATGTGGAAGTCGCCCAAAATCACTCGGTATCCCGAGTGCAGTTGTGTAGGTTCTGCGATCCGTTTGCCATTAACCATAACGGACGCCCCCTCCGATGGGAAGACTGTCACCGTGCCGTCTGACGCATTTTCGAAAGTACAGTGGTCGTGCAAAATACGTGTGCCGTTCAACCGGATGTTGGCCTGGTGGTCGGCGTTTGTATCCATGTTGCCCACAGTGGTCGTGCCAGGTTTGAGGTTGTACACAAGACATTCGGCCAGTAAAGGATCATCAGACAAGTTGACCAAATGAGGCATCTTCTTTGGCGTTGATAAACCAATGAACCCCTTTTCAATGCTGATTCCCAATTCTTCCAAAGCAGCCTCACGCTCCTTGTGGATTTCTTCCGTCTTCAGAAGCTTCTCCTCCCAAGTTTGGTTCAGGTCTGTCAGCAGTTTCTCGCTCTGGCTGAGTTGCTCCGCGATTTCGGCCTTGGAAACCTTCTTGACGGTACCATCGGCACCAGTGATGCTAACCATTTGCTTTTCTAGTGGCGTGTTCGGGTCATACATCTCGTCGGCAGGCACGGCAGCGCCAGCAACACCGCCAGGGACACCTCCGCCCAGCTTGCTTCGGAGCAGGGCCAGTTCTTCCTTGAGTTCACGGATCATGCGGGCGTTGGCATCTTCGTTGACGACAGCGTGGTTCTTGATACGTTTAGCCGAGTCGGCATATCGCAGAGTACTCAGCGTCTCATCGTAGTTGATGTCTGCAGGACTGATGGCCGCAATCATCGCTGTCATACTGTTTCCACCAAGCGAGTCCTTCAGCAACCAGGTCAAAACACTGTCTCGATACGGCACTTGGCCTGAGCCCTTCTTCTTCTTGCCAGTAGACATATCAGCCAATGCCGCAATGACACGACCAAGGGTAGAAAGAGATCGGTTGATTTCCGCACCCTCCTTCAAACGCGCACCAGTCGCTCCGGTCGAATTGGCTCTTTCCGAACCAGCCAAATCAACCAGGCTGATCTTGGCAACCTTCTCAGCCTCCATCTTCGTCTCAATGTCCTTCTTCTTCTGCGTCAACATCAACGTGAAGACAGCGTGACTTCGACTGGATGTTTCGTTCATGTTTGTCGCCGCCACTGTTCTGGCCTTGTTACCCTCGTCCATCAAGTGCTCAATCTCCTGGAAGCCGGTAACAACCAACTTTGCCAAGTCTTCAACGTAGGGTCCAGTAGAGGGATGTTCACGGACTTTCAGGCCGCTCTTGGTTGACGGGTTGAGCAAATCGCGGACTCGTTCGTTGTAAATCTCGAGGTAGGAAACTTCCACCGTGCACTTGGTGACGCCATCCGACTGAATGGTCTGGATGCGGTTGAACATCTCCTGGCAAATCATGGGGATAATTCCCACCTCTTTGCCATATCCCATCATAGAATACGACTTTCCGGACCCGGTCTGGCCGTATGCGAAAATACAGTTGTTGTACCCATCGAAAGCATTGTCGAGCAACGGGGCTCCAAGATCGTCGAAGAGGTTGTTCTGTCCCGCATAGTTGCTATCGGCTTTGTTGAAGGACCAGTATGACCTGTCGAATGCGAAAGATTTCGGCTGGTTGTCCTTGGCGCTGCCCTTGCCTTGGTGTCCGTCGGGTACTGTGATGATGGTCTGGTTGTCCTTCATTTCCACAATCCGCTTCGCATTTCTGTCCATTTCTAGATGTACCGTCAGCCCCATCCGTCGCGCGTTATCGCGGAGCAAAGTTTAAGCATACCTCTGCTGTTAAACGGCCGCACCCTCACCACCACCTTAATGTTGCCACCTCCGCCGGGCGCCATGATTGCTCGAGTCGATGCGGGGACCCAGCTTGGCCCCCTACGAAGGTTTTGTGGCTTCGGTCAACGTTGTCAGAACAACCCGCTGGCTCCCAGATTCCGTCTGGACGCTGGCTGTATTTCCACCTCGGTGCGTGCGTTGACTCGTCTACCGCATCATCCGTAAGACAATTCAATATCAGAAGCGCCCTATGCCCAGCTTGCGCCGGTGCGGAACAGGATAGACAAGGGGCAGCAAGCGACACCGTACTCGTTTGTCGGGAGATGCACTAGGTCGAGCTGTAGCTTTCGAAAATAGTCGCAGGTGATACTAGCTGAGGGAACGTGGGGTTCGTACGAGTTCCGTGGTTTGTATGCTGTTGTTTACAGACAAGGAAAAAGTAATTATGATATGGACGAAACAGAAGCACTAGTGCAGCACGCACACCTCTAAATCCACCCTGGAATCCCACGACTCAACTTGTACGTATCTCATGAAACGCGGTCGCGGGCCGGACGGGCGTGATGCTGCAGATGCGCACGTGAAATTGCCCACCCCCTTCCACCAGCCGGGTATTAGCCGGCGCTGCCTGGCCTCCGCCAAAAGCCTAGCACGCTCCCGGGCTCTCACGCCCCGAGTTTTATTAACGACGTAATCTGGGCTTAGTATCCTGGCCGATGCATAATGTTTACCCTCGCTTGGTGATGGCGACTCTCTGCAATCTTAAGTAAGTCAATTTATGAATTTCTCAACTCGCAATGCAGGTCATGTCTTTCGGCCTTCTTCTTACGGCGGCCCCTTCTCCAACAGTATTCACTTGTAGGTATTCTTAGCTCAGTTGACCAGCACCCTTGCAGATGAATCTCTGCGCTTTGTCGACTTCTCCTATTTTTTATGTGTGCGCAATCCCCTTGCAATAATAAAATAAGTAAATATACTGCCTCTTTCGATGGAGGGACTCTACAACCACCGGCATAACCACTCACGCCGACTATGTACTTTGTGCGTACAAAGCACCGCAAATGTCAACCTTCCATTGGTCACGCGCCAACGAGCTATAGACTGCCATTGTATTCAAAATACCAAGCTTGCCTAGTAGTCTCCCAAGAAATTCTTCTCACGGGGCAACACCCTTCCTTCGCATAAAGCCGAGTCATCTCCTCCTGCGGGATGGTCAATGCATGTACCTCACGCGCAGCTTTGCGAGTCTTCATTGGTGGGTTGGCCGCACTTAATGCAGCCTCTCTGAGATGCCTCTCGGAAGACGGACAGTGACTGGCTACCGGTGGTGAATGGGCCCAGAGCTGTATGACATGCGTCTTGGTTGCTGCGGAGTCTCTGCTCTGAAGATGCGGTGGTTCCGAATTCCTCCTCATGCAGGGGAGTATGTTTGTGAGACCGTGTCTTACTTGACCAATCAGCCGAAACTTGATGCCGGAGCTCAATGAGTAGTTGAAAAAGGTTCCTCGATTGTGATCTTGATCCCACCGGCTTTACTACTCCTTGTTTATCTTCTTCTCAAAACTCATCTCGTACCTGTCTACGTTTAGTGGTCCGGTGGACCAGAGTACTAGCGCTTGTATATGAACCGAAGCTGCCTGGGGAGAGGTCGAAGGCGTAGTTGGAGCAGAAGCAGCGTCTGCTTTGGCTGTGATGTATCCGATAACGTTGATCCATTCACCAACACGGGTCTGTTCCTCTCCCAAAGTCTCTAGGACAAGACTCACGTCCACATAAGCCGTGACATTGGTGTCTCTAGGGTATGCATGCGCGAGCTGAAGAATCGCACCCCTTGTTGAATATGCAAGCACACTGCACCACCAGATCATCAGCCTTGCAAGGGAAAAATAAGAATGGATGATCTGTCAATAGACTGTTTCACTGCATATTGGCGGTGACACTATGCGAACCAGATCATTTGTTTGCACATACCATCCAAGGAAGCGCACCTTGTCATGAACTGCGTATGCCGGCAACTGTGACAGTAGGCATAGCTGAGAGGGTAGAGGACCACGAGACATTCCCGCGTAAATCTGGGCCGGATTTCACACCTTATTTCAGGACTATAGGCGCCATATACGCGAGAACAGACAATGATCTCATCGACCAAGGATAGATTGAGAACTCGGCTGGTCCCAGCACTGGAAAGCAGTCACGGGTAGTGCAGGATTTGGAGCCACTTACCAAGTGTGACGTGAGCTCCACAGTGCTATTTCGCATAGCACAAACTGTACTGCGATGCCATTTAATAGCACGACATCTGCCAGCACCTGATTATGAGGTTATTTGCCGTATCTGCCATACTATCGTTCCAGTCTCCTCACAATCCAAGCAACTCGACATTCATCTCCGATCGCAATGGCTTCCGACGGCTTTCCTCGGTATCTCTACAAAATAGTCCCGACGGCTCCCCCGGAGCCCTTGCCTCAAGAATATCCTCTCTCAGAGCTAGACCAGACCGATGGCTTTGTTCATCTGAGCACTGACGAGCAGGTAGGTGGCGTGAATAGAACGCAACGTCACTTGGGCTTGCTGACAGGTTGCAGGTACCGAACACCTGTGACCTCTTCTTTACCCAGACCACCCAGCTCTGGGTGCTGAAGCTGGAGTTTGCTCCAATCAAGGCTGATATAAAGTGGGAGGGCGGCTTCCCCCACCTGTACGCCAACTTTGGAGCCAAGCAAGTAGTCTCCGTCAACAAATTCAGCAGGTCAGAGGATCAGAAGTGGAGTGAAAACATGAAGGGCTCTACGTGGCTGGAATAGCGGCTTCCGTCCAATTTATTTTTTATTTTTCAGGTTTTCAAACCAAGGTCCTCGTAATAGCTTGAGTTGAATATATCCACATATATCTGCCCCCTCTAGTTTTGGTTGTATTGAGTTCTATGAAGTTTGACACACTTGTTATCTTCCGAGGATGGTCATGCCTTAAGGCCCAAATCCTTCTCTACCATGCCCTTGCAGATGGGGTGGTAAAAGTCCTGGTTCTTCTTGAATGTCTCCAGCGCAAGCTCGCGGTCGACCTTGTTCAGTTCGCGGAACAGAGGTCGGACGAACTTCATGCGGCCAACCTGTCCGAGAAGTTCGGCAACACCAGCGTAGGAAGATGAGTCTGAACCTCTCATGGCGATGACATAGTAGGCCGATTTGAGCTCGACATTCTGCGAGGTCGTGAACTCGTACACTTCGCCGAGTAGTTTCGCCCTTTCCGCACTTAAAGCTTTCTGTTGTTGGATCGTCTCAAGGAAGACGAGCTTCTGATTCCCAGTGAAAGATTCGACATCTTTGGCGCTTGGCTTGAAGGACTAAAGTAATAGCAATGGTTAGTATAAATCACATCCGAAGGGGCAGGTGTTAAGTCGAGTATAACAAGGGGAGAGAAACTCACTTCATCTTCCCACTTGGCAGCCAACTGATAGCACTGGTTGGCTAAACTAGTGTCGAAAGTAGGCTTGGGTGGGAGACCCGGAGTGTAGAGTCGGCCTTCCCAGTCAATGTCCTTGATCTTAAGCTTGATCTCCTCATCGCCAAGGTTGTTGAAAAAGTCCATGAAGGTATCACGGAACTCAAAAGAGTCCAGGGATTTTCCTGACCACTTCGTGAAGTAATGGGGAATGAACTTATCGAAGTTAGGGCGCCCGACTACACGTTCAAGATAATAGACAAGGTGGAAACCCTTTTCGTAAGCGATGGTGCTGTATACATCCTCGGGATCGACGTTATCATGGCTAATGATGAGTTTGGTGTACTCATGATCCTCACCAAAGTGCTTCACAGCGTCCTCTGGATAATGTTAGTAAGAGTCTATGCAAGTCTTTTGGAAAGGAGGCGTAAGGGAAGCGTTACCAAGGGCTTTCCAGCCAAGGATGGCAGAGAAGTCAAACTCGGCGTCGCCATGAATTACGGCCTGGATACGGCGCTCAAGATACATAGTCCAACCTTCATTGAGCCAGCTAGTGGGAATCAGCAAGGGGTCTTGGATTGCGATGGCCAATGTCGGAGATTAACTCACAAATGCTCCCAGCTGGCATTGGAAACCAGATTACCACTCCAGCTATGGCTGAGCTCGTGGGCAATTACGTCGACATTTTGACGGTCGCCGCTGATGATAGTTGGTGTAGCAAATGTATAGATGGGGTTCTCCATCCCTTGACTGGAATTAGCATTAAAAAGCTTATGATAGGGTAATATTTTATGAATTTACCTCCGTAAGGGAAGCTGGGGGGAAGAATTAACACATTGTAGGCCCCCCACTTGTAGGGGAAGACAAGCTTCTCAGCAACCTCCATGAACTTCTCCATGTCTCTTTCGAGCTCCCACCTACAGCCCTCGAGCTCATTTGGGCCGGTGGCGACGACGGATCGCGGACCAATCGGTGCGGTAACAATGTCACCGGAGGCAACGGCAAAGAGATAGGAAGGGATGGGGACCTTTTGCTCGAACTTGTACAGCTTAGACACGCCAGGGGTTGCTTCATGATCCCCGACAGGAACACCGCTAGCTACCACAGGCAGAGTGGAAGTCAAATTGAACGTAAAGGGAGATTTGACGTCGGGTGTATCTTGGCAGGGGAATATGGAGCGGGCATTGATAGCCTGGCACTGAGAGAACATGTAGGGGTGCTTCTTATTGGAAGTTTGCGCAGGCGTAAGCCATTGCAGGGCAGTACATTTCTCAGTCGTTTCCAAATCAATGGTCAAATTGATAATCTCGCCCTTGGGAGCGCCTCCAGGGACGGAGATGTGCAGAGGGGCGCCGAGGGGTTCAGAATGGGGCTTCAGCTCCCACTTGGACTCGACCGAGTTCACATTGATGGAGGAGACCTTGACATGTCTCGAGTCAAGAACAACCTCGGTGCTCTCCTTATCGGTCTGAGATTCGAGTTGGAGAACGACGGACCCCTTGAGACGCTTGGCGTCGAAGTCGAGGGTGAAGTTGGCGGTGGTGTGCTTAGTGCGCCACTCCCCGTAGTTGGATTTGGTGCTTGGGTCCCGGACAGCCATGGTCACTGATGATGCAAAGGATCGCTGGCAAGATTTGATGTTGACAGTGAAAGCTGTGTGTTGCTTGGTGAGACCTGCTCGCTTCAGAATTGACGAGAGCCACGACATGAGCAACTGCTCTTTTCCCAGTTCACCGAGAAAAACACGTCAGAGCCGAGACAAGCCGTCCAGTCTGCACCTAACCCACTTGCTTGGTCGTTGAAGCTTCCTCATCGGTTGGTTGTTCCAGCGCTCATGCCTAAACGGGACAACGAGTCACGTGCGCTCAGTTGCGAGCTGGGCCGTGGTTCCGTCACAGCTAAACTCTTATCACGATCATAATCTCACATCAAACTTTCATAATCTTATGCGGCTGTCCTTATAATCATGATGAGGATCATAGGATGCTCATTGAGGGACTTATTCATATGAACCTGTTTCATGCTGCGCTATTGATCCGCTACTGATGCTTGGTAAGTGAGGGAGGGAGCAAACTGAGCGAAAAGGACCACATCTATTCATCCGAGTAAAAGCCCGTCCAGACTGGAAGATCGCAATTTGAACTAGGATCGTGAGGCTGCGTTGTCCGCTCGGAGATGCTACGATTCTCAGCATTCCATGGAGTGGAGAGAGCTGCCTCGGCGTGTGAGCTATCAAGACAGCTGAATGCGTTACCGCTCAGAAAAGGTTAAAGCCCCGTTTTAGACTTCGGATAGAATTTTCACTACCTTGGAATGAGCGTCCACGGATCCCTCCTCCGCAGATGGGTTTGGTATCTTCATCTCTTGGAAGAGGAGCCTCCACTGCCGTGCATGGTGGATGGATTTGATGTCTGCCAAGGACACTCAAATAGCGACATCTTGTGCGATGACGAACACATAGGCCAAATTCACTATAGCTCTCTGCAATCTATCACTTGCCTGTTAATCACTTATGAGCATGATACCATGTAGTTTCGCTTCCAACTGGCTGGTCCCTGGAGCAAGCGGAGGTGTTTGCCATCGGAGTTTCACCCCGGATTTCCTCCACTACAATTCACGAAAGACGCTATTGTTGAGATCATGAACCAGGCCCTGTTGGCGTGGATGGCGACACCATGAGAACGAAAACGAATCTTGACCCACCTGGGCGTGGTTACAGGGCTGGTAAGTCTGATGGGTAAGAGGGTTTGGGTAACGAGGGATTGTTTCAAGTTTCCCATGTGGCCATGATGCTTCCAGGGTCCAAAACCGGGGAAACTGGTTATGAAGAGAGATGCAGCTCTTACAAAGAGTGATTGAGCCTGTTTTAGCTGTTGATGACATCCGCAGAGCAGGGGGCTCATTCCGTGCATTCGGTCTGGCATCTAATGATATCATGAACAGCATGCTGTCGGCATACAGTGGATAGCTAATCATCAGAGCAGCCAAACCTAGGCTGCAGTGAATGGAAACATGGATCTGATGAAAGGACTTTCCTCTTGGGATGCCTCGCTGTGGGGCTAGTATTCCTTCACTGGGACATCAGGAACCGGAGACAAGCTCCCGTCATCGTCTGACAACATCCCACGATGCAAGCCTTTGATTAATCAACGCCCAAAGCACGAGGCCGCAGGTGGTGGCCTTCATGGGCAATGGGGGAAGAAAGAACCTGAGCTAAAGACCCCAGTGATGCTGTTTGCCAACCCAACCCAGGGCTTCGCCTGCTGGGAGCGGCCGTCTGTGGATCCTTTTCAATTTTGCAGAGAAGATCGAAAGAGTGCCTTCTGCTCATTCGGCTGCTGGGCCTTGTAAAAAGGAGGTTGGTCCCGGGAGTGAGGTTGTCCGAGCGTGCGTGCTGGTGCAGTTCCTGCAGAATCACTGGCCAAGGGTCACAAACCATCCGATTGGTAATACCTGCTGTGCATGTGCATGTGCACTGCTTCTAGAATCATGACGCCGGGAATAGATGAAATTTCTGCACGTGCGTATTGGCGGGCCTGTAAGCTGTTGCGCCTGCTTCCTGTTCACCTGCAGGTGCGTGGATATGGACGGACGCAGCCCAAGAAGGGCCAAGCTGGACAAGGGCAGCACATGGGAATCGAGTGTAAGCGAGTTGGTGCGTGCTTATAGTCAAGCCGGGACGCTTGATTAGTGGCCAATGCCCGACAAGCAACCAAAATGCGAATTGACAGGGACCGAATGCGTGGTAATTAGGTGCAGGACAGGCAGGGAGTAGTTGGGACGAGGCCCAACACCACGCCGGGTTGGGAACGCGGAACAGGGCTCGCCGGAAGCAGCACGAGGCTATGATAGCAGGCCGATGACTGACGAGAATCTTGGTCATAGTAATACAGTCGTTCATCCACCGGTGACCACCGCTAACCCACCATCATGGTCCAGGCCATGAGCGCAGGGCCATTGTCGGGATTTGGCTTGTGGGTAATAACGGGTAGTAGTAAGTCGATGGGTCACCCCCGGGCGGGTTTGAGCCGTTTGCCATCATCAGCCGTCTCGGAGGCTTCTCATTGCACCAGGAGAGAGGGCGACAGAGAGCACGGGACAGCCAAGGCCCTTTACCGACGGTCGCTCACCGTAGACCAGGCTGGGGAAGGCCCTTCCATGTAATCGGCAGTGGCCACTGCTTGAATATGTGATGTGCTGTTGAATGAATTGTACAGGCAAGTACCATGGGCTGGCATCAGGGAGCATGCAGGTACTATCCGAGTACTGAGGTAGGTGATTGCAGCTTGGGCAGGTACGAACATAACAGGACGGAATATTATGGCGGAAGGAAGGAAGGAACCACATCAACCTACCTAGTGCC